TTGATCTACACATGGAGAGAAGAGATTTAGAGACTGACTTGCGAGAAGGATTTTTTTTCTTTTTGGACAGAACTGTTCTGTGACTATCTTTGCCCCTCCCTTCTTCACCACCTTCAACAGAGAATGCCTTGGATGATGTTCTTCACCTCAAGTCAAGGGAGTGGTACATTAAGGGAGATTACTCAAGAGCTCTTTATGGGCTTCCTGAAATTGGGTAGTGATGTCGATGTTCAGGGACTCCTAACCTATGGGAAGCAAGTTGTGCTTTGCACAAGGGAAACTGGCTAAGGGAGCAAGTAGTGATCGAAATCCACCCTGCGGCAAGCTTGCTAAACTGTGAAACAGCAGGGCTGTGTCTGCTCAAAGGGGACATCTTCCCATTTGCACAAAGATTTCATGTGGAATAACTGTGACCCTAGGTTTGATGGGCACATTGAACTAGTGTCTGACTCCTCTGAGATATCTAAAGGCGGTTATGGCAGTAGACTGGTAACTGCGCATGGATGAAGTGAAGGAGGGTTGGCTGAGGTGGAATTGCCCTGCGCTCCAGAGATGTTTCAGGGAAAGTAATGGGTGTTTTCCATAAATCAGATGCGAATTAAGCATGAGAGCCTGGGAGGGGTCATCTTAGGTTGGGTCTAATAGCACCAACTGGAGAAGTGATGGAATCTCAGGACAAAGAAGCTGAACTGCTGGATTGTAACTAACTGAAGAAATACATTTGTTCTCATCAAAGCATTTAGGGGTAATATAGTACCAATAACTGGAGGTCTTTAAATAAGGCATGAATGTACTTCCATGCCAGTCATCTTTAAATATATATCGGGCCTAGAGAATATAGGGCCAGCTTATGACAATGCCAATAAAATGAGAGCTTTCTCAACTCCCTTTTATCACCCTCACCTCCCATAACTCTGTCAAAAAAAAAAAGAGCTGCTATTGAGCAGAGAAATAGATAAGCAGGGGTGGGGGGGGGAATTGGGGGGGGGAGCGAAGGCAGGGGGGAATAGTTAAGTGCACCCTCTGGCCAAGAGACAGGCAACTTGCCTATAGAATGCCTTAGCTGGATGGAAGGAAAATAGCTATAACTTTGAATAAATATCAAAACTATGACCATTACATGGGGTTGGGCATTTTAATATATTGAATTAAAACTGTCTTGTGACAAAACAATCACTATATTTTACTATCTAAGAATAATCATCAAGGTCATATTATTTTTTGAATTTTTATCCAAAGGAAGGACAAGCCTTTCTTCCATTGATGACATTTTAAAGAGATAGTTGAACACAAATGATTCTACCCCGATGAATCTTCAGGGTGGGGTATGTGTGTGTGTGTGTGTGTGTGTGTGTGTGTGTGTGTGATTTAAACATTCAGTTATAGATCCCTTAGTGCCTGAGCACATCTGGTGATAAGAAACTACTTTTCCCCTGAAAGAATTCAATCTATTGTTTCATTTTAATAATTCCAAGAAACATATTTATATGTTAGTCTAATATAATTAAAATTTAAAGTAATGTGAAGTTAAATTTAAAGTTATCTAAATTCTTTAAATAATTATAAGAAATTATTTTACATTATCTTCAAAATATCATTCTTTAAAAATTAATAGGTCTTTTTTTGTACATTCCAGAACTGTACACATAAGAATTGTTCTTTGTTCCATATAACAGTATAACTAACACGTTTAGTCATACTCTTCTCTGTCCAAGATCAGTGCTCTTAATCTACCCAATAATTCATTGCACAATATTGTTTTCTAACCCACTCATTATTCTGATCTTTTTTAGTTTTAAGATTCCCCAGTCCATTGACATCATGAACTCAAGGATATTCTTAATAATGATAGTCTTTGAGTCTGAAGGTGGTTTTAGTCTCTTTCTGGCAAATGCTTTCATTGTTGTTCTTTCACCTTGATATTATATTTCTGTTATTTTAGCCTTTCATTTCATGATGAGGCTCGTTCTACAGGAAAGGGGCCTGAAATAATTGACATTTGTTCAGCTTGAACCATGTTGGACATGGTAGTAAAACAGAGAACCACAGTTATGAACTAAATGTTACAGAATAGAAGACAATTGTTGATACTTATAATTATAACTAATAGTTGGGGAGGATAAACAATTATTTTAAAGAACCTGATCAACATACAGTTTTTCATTGAAGAGCTTAACCAGCCCATAAACCCAACAGGCTGGCTGAGGCCCAAATAGCAAATCAGATATGGGTGAGTGTTGTCCACCCCATGGGCTTCAAAGGCAATATTGTTCTCCTTGCTCTTATAAAGGAGCATGGCTGAGGTTCCTGAAGCATCAAGAGATTCCATGGGTTCTGCTAAGATGCTTCTGCTCTTGCTCTCGATGGCCTTGCTGGCCCTGAGCTCAGCTCAGGACATCAGTAATGGTAAGAGGGGGAAATGGAGATCATACAAGGAATGATGGGGTTAAAATTAATGGAATAGAGTGGAGTTGAATTGACCCTTCTCAGAAATTAAGTACTTTATTTTCAGAGAGTAGGTCAATAAAGGAGGAGATAAAATTAGTTTCTATTTTCTATTGATTGCAAATATCTCCCTGAATATCTGGGCCTAAGTCCCAAGCAGTATCTTCATGGTATGACATCTGTTGTTTTTAGATATATGGACATTCAATTATTCACTCTGTGTGGAACAGGTCATCTAAATTGAGTAAAAATTCTATAATTCATTTAGATACATCATTTTCTTATATCAACCTTTAAACATTTAGAAATGAGAATTTTGATTAAATTTTCATTTATTTCATCAGCATTTTGACATAAAGTAGGCACTATGAATTTTTTCTTTTCATTACATTACTTATTCTTTTAAAATAAGTATAGGTCTGATCATGTAACTACTTGGCAGGCATGCATTTATAGTAAATCTAAGACTTCCTGGAAATGGGTAATTTCAAGTAATGATGGAGGAATTTATATATAATAAAAGAGGAAGGCTAAGTCTTTGTTAGTCTGTGGCTTTTTAAAGAGAACACACATGGCCTATCTTAATGTTACCAAAATCCAAATAATTGTTTAAATGATTGCGAACATTAGGTATCAGACTTCTTGTAAGACAAATAATTGAAAGTTGGAATAAGATTTTGTTTTCTTATGAAATGTTATTTCATTATATGGAAGCTTCCTAAGAAAATAAGAATATTAAACAAATACATAAGGACACATATGTAATACCTTAATCAATAAAGAAAAGAAATTCTAATAGATTATTTGAATTTTAAACCTGTTCTCATAACTGAGATAAAGTTGCTGCTCATGGGCAATGTACTTTTAAAATGGTAATTTTGGATTTTTCTGAAAGATGTATAAGCCTTAATAAGCATCTATAAAAGGGTATCTATCTATCTATCTATCTATCTATCTATCTATCTATCTATCATCTATCTATCTATCTATCTATCTATCTATCTATCTATCTATCTATCTATCTAAAAGCCTAAGCAACCGAATGACTGATTGACTGGTGAACTGGTCGCTATGACACGCACTGACCACCAGGGAGCAGACGCTCAACACGGGAGCTGCTTCCTGATGGTCAGTGCGCTCCCACAGTAGAGTGCCACTCAGTGACCGACCTGTCCCAGCAGCCCACCAGCCCGGTGGCAGCCACTCACTCCCTCAGTAGTCCTGTAGGTCCAACCTCTGGAGAATGGGCCAGGCTCCGATGGACTGGCGCTGCCGGCATAATCCCAACAGCACCACAGGCCTCCTGGAAGTTGGCCTTGGACACTGCAGCTGCTTCCCCTCCCTAGATGCTCTGCAAGGAAGAAATAATATAATAGCAGCTGCCAGGTGGCTCCCGACAACCAGCTTGAATGTCAGCGGGACGGATCCCAGGCCTGCAAGGGCACCCACTGCCCACCTGGAAGGCCAATTGCATCCCGGCCCATCCCCACTCACCTCCAGATGGGTGCCAGATGCAGGGCTCACATCTGGCAAGTGCTGCTGTGGCAGCGCGAGCCTCTCCCAATCAGGACTGACCGGGCACCAGCCCGCAGCAGGCTCAGCGGGGCCAGGATGAGCGGGAGCAGCAGGCAGGAGTGGCAGGTGGCGTTGGAATGCTGGCTTCCACTCAATCCTTGCAGGCCACGCTGAGGGTCCCCACCCATGCACGAATTCATGCACTGGGCCTCTAGTTTTATAATAAAATCATCTGAGCCTTAAACTCTACACTTTGTGATAATTTGGATATTAGATGGAGAATAACAGTAAAATTCTTTGGAAATATTTCTTCTTTAAGTATGTATTGGGAATTTTATGCATGGGAAGTTTATGCATGATCTCGCACACATATCATGTCAATGATTATTCACTACAACAATTCAAAGTAGATATTACCCATATTTCATATTTGACCCATAACCTTAGAGTTTAAATACTTTGAAGAGCTTACATAATTAGCAAGAGTTTGGGAGTGAAGTGTTTTGAGTCTTGGCACATGAACAATTGATGCCATTAAAAAATTGAACAGATTAATGTTTGTTTAAATGGGTTTTGGGCAAGTTCCTGAAGTAACCAATAATTATTTGAAAAATTTATCTTTTGGAGGCAAGAATTTTCTGGAATAAAGTCATGGTAATACAGACAATAAGCTATGTGGCTACAGATGGTTTCAATTCTCAAATTTTCTCTGTTGCAAAATGTCTCATAATATGTATTTTGTCTATAGCCATTGTTGCTCTCCATCTTATTATATATAATACAGAATTAGTAAAATATTTGACTTCCTTTTCATCCCTGCTTCAGAGTCAATGATCAGATAGATATAGGATTCTACTTTATGAAATGTTGGTCCATTGTATTCAAACATATTAGTAGTAGTAGTTCTCTTAAGAATTTTCTAACTTCTTAAATTTAACCCTACTTGTCTTTATATAAATGTATAGCTGGGATCTTATCAAATCATATTTTTAATTTGTTTTCTTATTCTCCCCCCCCCCCCTGACCCTTTTAAATTCTAGGTACTGATACTGAAAACTCACCAGGTAAATCCTTGTTCAAGGATGTGTTCCTTTCTTTTTTTCTTCAGAACCTATCATACCTTTTTCTTTGCTTTGTATTTGTTTCTTGAAAACTCTCAAAATTGAGTCTAGGAAAAGGCAAGAAATAATGACAAATGCCTAAGTTTTAGTGGTCCTCAGTCTTATTGTTAGATATGGCCCATTTCCTTCCTTTTCACATTGGAATCTTCTGTGCCAGAGACCTAGTGTCTAAAGATCAACTGAACGTGCCACCCTACACAAATGTTTTCTATAAATTCTACAGACAAAGACAAATGATTGAATAATACAAATCCCTTACATTTTAAGGATGTTGTCTCCATTGACATTTAACTAATTTAAGTTATAAAAATACCATGTAATCATAAAGATATTATGCAATTTGACCAAAGTACTTATATTATTCAATCAGTAAGTTTACTATTGCAACTTACTCATTTACAGTACGAATGCTTCATTCTTCTATTATCTAAGCTTTGATGTCTGTTTAAATGATAAGATGCCTCAAAGTAGATAAAACTTAAAAGCCATCATTAACTGAAAACACTTCAAATGAAAAATTTAAAGACAATTTTAGTGACATGGGTAGGAGTGTGTATAGGAGGGAGGATATAAGAAAAGACCAGAGTACATGAGAGAGCTAATGAATTTTAAGTTATGTCACCAAAGAGTTGCAGGATTCAGTAAATGAATCAATCAAAAATTTGCTTGCTTAAAGAAAACCTTTACATACTTAATGATTTTCTTCAGTTCTTGACTTGTCAATGATCCTCCCATTAAGGTTATGATATCATTTTATACTTTATTCCATCGTTTGTTCTTTCTTTGCAGAAGGCCCTCAAAACCAAGAGGAAGAAACCCAACCATTAGGTGAGTTATTTTGTTCTTTTGTGTGTGGGGGCGGGGGGCGCGGGGGACAGGGAGTGAGTTATTTTGAAATCAATCAACTTACTTACAATTTTTCTAAATAGATTCTAGGAACCTCTGGGTCACTGGTGTAATCCAAAATTTATATGATTTTTACTTTAATTTATGCTTAACTTTCAAAGATTTTCTTCCTCAACCATTTTACTATATAATTTTATCTTCTTAGTATATTGCAGAATGAGCATAAAAGACAAAAAAAATTAATGGTTTGCTTTAGATCTATAAGTTCTCTCAGGTCTAGAGAATATGGTCATTGCTTTACTTCTGATTTTTTCTTGCCTGTTACCTGGCCTTGTAAGGGTATGGCTATAAGGAGTCCTGAAAAAAAAAATGCTTTGATTATCTATGTTGTCTATGCCAACAATAATTCAATAAAATTTAATACTTAATAACCATGGCAGGGTCCTATTCTTGGTACTAAGAATGCAAAGGTAAATGAAGCATTGTTCCTGTCCTTAAGGAACTCAGGATGTAATGGAAGATTTCACTTTTAGACATAATGATGATCACCTTCAGAAAAGTGGCAAAAGTAGGCATTATGGCAGCTCAGAGAAAGGGAGAAAAGGGAAGGCCTCCCGCAGGAGATGCCATGTGATCTGGACCTTGGAGAGTGGGGCATGGGGGGAGGCAAAGTCAAATGCATGGCTAAATCTGTGCATATAACATAGCATTTCAGTGGTCTAGGAACACAGAATAACCCCGTAAGGTTGAAGTGAATATAGGAAGATAAAGCTGGAGATGTGGCTTAGTTCTAGATTACAAAAGATGCCATGAATGGCAAACTGAATTTGTAATTTTTCCTATGGGCCACAGAGTGATTTTTGAATAAGGGAGTCACACAGAAATTGATTTGTTGATCTGACAACAATGAAGAATAGCAACTTGAAAGCCCAAACTGTGTCTTTTAAGCGTAGAGTCTTACTGTCTGATGTAATGGGCATGCAATAAAGTATACATTGAATCACAAGAGAATGACTGTAAGAGTGATGACCATAGCAGATTGGTAGTTACAGAATAGCCACGGGATATAAAGTACAGCATAAGGAATATAGTCAAGAATATTGTAATGACTGTGTATGATGCCACGTGGGTACTGGAAATATTGGGGGAACACTTTGCAAAGTATGTGACTGTCTAACTACTATGCTGTACACCTGAAACTAATACAAAATAACGTTGGATGTAAAAAATAAATAAATGTATTGTTGATTAAAAAAAGAGTGATGACCACAAGAGCATGAAGAAATGATTGAAAGTTAATATAACAGATGGTGAGGGCTGGGATTCAATTAGAGATACCAGGAATTTTCAAAAGGATAAAATATAGGGTGGGCTTTGTGTATACTTTCTGTTGGTCTAAAGACTTAACAGTTGATAGAAGAGAGGGGAGAGTGGGTGTTATATGATTCCTCTGCTATTGGGAAGGGCAGGGTAACTGATAATTTCCCCTGTTCAATAGATTTGTGCCAAGATATCATGCATATCTATAGATAGACACAGTGACTCCATCTGGTGGTTTCTCAGACATCATGAGTTATCTAGTGGTTTATAGATGAATTCATGTGTATCACAGCAAGGTTAGACTATGGCCATATAGAATAGTGGCCGAAATATCAAAAGAGGGGAGAATAACTAGTGATGGGGTGAACAAGAGGTGCTAAGCTAACAAGTACAGGCCCTCTAAAGAGGCCAGGCCTTGTAGGCGCTGGACCCTAGTACCATTTAAACTTGTATTATATTACTTCTAACTAAATCTAGGCTACAGTAGATTCCTTACTTGCCTCATTTAAGTTTATGGCTAACCTTCCTCTTTCCTTGTTTCTTTCTGAATATATTCTCTCACTTAAGAAGACCATAAAATTGTTGAAGAACCCCCAGAGGGATCGCGAGAAGAACATGGAGGTCAGCGTGAAAAAAGAGACCATGGTCACCATCATGGGCCTCAAAGCCAGAATGTCCAGGGAGACCAGGAAAACTCACGTAGCCAAGGTGGAAGAGGAGGTGGAAGAGAAGGCCGAGGTGGTCAAGGTGGCCAGAGAGGCCAAGATGGCCAGGGTAGCCGAGGTGGCAGAGGTGACCAGGGTGGCACTGGTGGCCAGGGTGATCAGCGTGGAAGAGGTGGCCAGGGTAGTCAACGTGGTGGTCAGTGACAAAGAAAACCAACTAGAGATGGCTTCCAGTGATTCCCTAGGTATTAATTGCATTTTTAGTCCCCAATCTAGTGAATTTCTTCTTAAATTTTTTAATTTTTTTCTTTTTGTTTCTAGTTACTTCTCTTGTTTTGATTCTTGATTTTAATTACTCAAACTGTCCAAATTTGCCTTTGCCACGAATCTCCTTGCCTCAACCTTACACATAGAAAAGTCTCCTTCATTCTTTTAAGAGCAAGTGTTACTTCTACCCTGAGCTTTTGTTTGACTTCCTTTTCTTATATTAACCTAAAATTTTCCAAGTCCTACCTCTCCTCCCCTCCACCTCTCTTCTCTCCTCCCTCCTGTTTCCCTCTCCTGGCTTCTTCCTCCCATCTCTACCTCCTCACTCCTCCTTCTTCTACTCTATTTTAACTTCATGTGTTGTCTTATAATGAGCCTACTTCATTATAGAAATACCAGTCATAGAGCATGCTCAGGCTAAGTGATTATTGTGTCTAAAATCTTTTTCTTTTTTTCAGAATTGATAGAGATCGACTGGTGAACATGGACTTTTCAGTGGTGTAAACATGGCCTTTTCTTTCTCCAACTTTAAATCATCAATAAAGTCATAAGCATTACACCCTGGCTCTTCTTTTTTATTTAGGGCCATGGTTCTCAGTCAAGGGACAATAAGGACAGGCTGGGAGGAAGATAGCTCTGACTGGACTCCAAATGTTCTGTATTGTGTAACTTGATAGGTAGCTCAGATTTCAATAATTGTGGAAGGACTTAACTACCACCAATATTCCAAAGGAAAAAAAAAATATTCTTGAGACCAGTAAGAGAGTTTTCCAACTCTACATTATCAATTCACACATCTTTTTCTCAGCTCAAACACAGAGAAAAAGACCTTGTATATTTCCTTGATCTCTGACAGTCTTTCAGTGCATGTGTGCATATTATTACATTTCTGTTTACGTAGGGGATTCAGGAGGGCCTCTAGGACTGTTTGCCCTCAGCATGCCCTATTGGAAATAGACTCATCATCCAGCTGTCAACCAGACAAGCTTCCCATTGATTTAGAGACATGCAGATATACCTCAGCACTGTCTTTGGTTCATACATGTTGACTCAATTTAGTTTTTTTTTTTGCATATATGCATTTGTAGAAATGGCATGAAGTAAAATCTGCCAGAACTAGGGAAGGTATAAAGGAGAGTGAGTGTTTATGAGTTGAATTATGTCTCCCAGAAATTTATATGTTGAAGTATTAAACCCAGTGTCTTAGAATATGACCTTATTTGGAAATGGGGTTCTTGCAGATATAATTAGTTAAGATGAGCTTATGTGAGAGTAGGTGGGCCCCTAATCCAGTATGACTGGTATCCTTATAAAAAGGGGAAATTTGGGCATAGACATGTATACAGGGAGAGCACCATGCGAAGATGGAGACAGAGACTTGGGTGTTCCTTAGAAGCTAAGGAGCACTAAAGATTGCCATCAAAACACCAGAAGCTAGGAGACCTGGAACAAATTCTTCCTCATAGCCCATAGACTGAACCAACACCTTGATCTTAAACATCTAGTCTTTAGAACTGTGACAAAATAAATTTCTGTTGTTTAAGACACTCAGTTTGTAGTACATTCTTGCAGTGACCCTTGCAAACTAATACATTGAGAAAATTTACTTACCAGATTGTTAATTTTTTATTTATTTTATTTTTTAAAATATATTTGTATTGATTTCAGAGAGGGAGAGACAGAAACATCAATGATAAGAGACAATCATTGATTGGCTGCCTTCTGCACTCCCCTTACTGGGGATCGAGCCCACAACCCAGGCATGTGCCCTTGACCAGAATCAAACCAGGGACCCTTTAGTTGGCAGGCCGACACGCTATCCACTGAGCAAAACCAGCTAGGGCTTAAGTTTATTTTTAAACTTACAATGTAAGTTTTAGCCTATGCACCTAATTTTCTATTGTTTCTTTTAACTTATAAGGCATTTTAAAAATTTATCAGCTTAATCAATGTGTTACCTTTTGCACGGTCAGATTTAGAGAATAAAAATTAACATATGAAACAACATATGAAAAATAAAAGTAATTTTTACTTTTATCAAATTTATTGATTAGAATATTTATAAACATTTTATCTTCTGAACACAAAGTCCATGACTACTCTAGGCTGGTCAATCACTTCAAGATACATTTTTAAAATTTATTTATTGTCTAAAGTTTTACATATATCTCCTTTTTCCCCACTTGACCACCCCTCCCCCAAGCCATTTCCACGCCAGGCAAGCCCCCACCACCCCAGTGTCTGTGTCCATTGGTTATACTAATATGCAATCATACAAGTCCTTTGGTTGCTCTCTAACTCCCCCCTCCCCTGCCATTTGTCTCTGGATCTATTCTTATTCATTAAACTATGTTGATCATTATATCCACATATGAATGAGATCACGTGATATTTATCTTTCTCCAACTGGCTTTTTTGCTTAGCATAATGCTCTCCAGTTCCATCCATGCTGTTGCAAATGATAAAAGTTCCTTCTTTTTTATAGCAGCATAGTATTCCATTGTGTAGATGTACCATAGTTTTATAATCTACTCATCTGCTAATGGGCACTTAGGTTGTTTCCAAATCTTAGCTATTGTAAATTGTGCTGTATGAACATAGGGGTGCATATATCCTTTCTGATTGGTGTTTCTGGTTTCTTGGGATATATTCCTAGAAGTGGGATCACTGGGTCAAATGGAAGTTCCATTTTTAGTTTTTTGAGGAAACTCCATACTGTTCTCCTCAGTGGCTGCACCAGTCTGCATTCCCACCAGCAGTGCATGAGGGTTCCTTCTTCTCCACATCCTCTCCAGAACTTGTTGTTTGTTGATTTGTTGATGATAGCCATTCTGACAGGTGTGAGATGGTATCACATTGTTGTTTTGATTTGCATCTCTCGGATGATTAGTGACTTTGAGCATGTTTTTATATGTCTCTGGGCCTTCTGTATGTCCTCTTTCAAAAAATGTCTATTTAGGTCCTTTGCCCATTTTTTGATTGGATAGTTTATCTTCCTTTTGTTGAGTTGTATGAGTTCTCTGTAAATGTTGGAGATTAAACCCTTATCTAAAATATCATTGGCAAATATGTTCTCCCATGCAGTGGGCTTTCTTGTTGTTTTGTTGATGGTTTCTTTTGCTGTGCAGAAGCTTTTTATTTTGATGTAGTCCCATTTGTTTATTTTCTCCTTAGTCACCATTGCCCTATAGGCTGTGTCAGTGAATATATTGCTACGACATATGTCTGCTATTTTGCTGCCTATGGAGTCTTGTAGGATTTTTATGGTTTTCCATCTTACATTTAAGTCCTTTAGCCATTTTGAGTTTGTTTTGTGTATGGTGTAAGTTGGTGATCTAGTTTCATTTTTTTGCACATAGCTGACCAAATTTCCCAGCTCCATTTATTAAAGAGACTGTCTTGACTCCATTGTATGCTCTTGCCTCCTTTGTCAAATATTAATTGAGCATAATGACTTGGGTCTATTTTTGTGTTCTCTGTTCTGTTCCATTGGTCTATATGTCTGTTCTTATGCCAGTACCAGGCAGTTTTGAGAGCCATGGCTTGGTAATATAGCTTGATATCTGGTATTGTGATCCCTCCAACTTTGTTCTTCTTTCTCAGGATTGCTGTGGCTATTCGGGGTCTTTTTTTTATTTCAGATGTTTTTTTGGAGAGATTGTTCTAGATCTTTGAAGTATGCTGTTGGTATGTTGGTATTTTAATGGGGATTGCATTGAATCTATAGATTGCTTTGGGTAGTATGGACATTTTAATGATGTTGATTCTACCAATCCATGAACATGGCATGTGCTTCCATTTGTTTATGTCTTCCTCTATCTCTTTTTTCAATGTCCTGTAGTTTTCTGAGTACAGGTCTTTTACCTCCTTAGTTAAGTTTATTCCTAGGTATCTTAATTTTTTTGGTGCAATGGTAAATGGGATTGTTTTTTTTAGTTTCTCTTTCTGTGAGTTCATTATTGGTGTATAAAAAGGCCATAGATTTCTGGTTGTTAATTTTGTATCCTGCTACATTGCCAAATTCATTTATTAGGTCTAGTAGTTTTTTGATGGAGTCTTTGGGGTTTTCTATGTATAGTATCATGTCATCTGTGAATAATGACAGTTTTACTTCTTGTTTTCCAATTTGGATGCCTTTTATTTCTTCTTCTTGTCTGATCACTATGGCTAGCACTTCCAGTACTTTTTAGAACAAGGATGGTGGGCATCCCTGTCTTGTTCTTAGGAGAAATGAGTTTAGTTTTTGCTCATTGAGTATGATGTTGGCCGTAATATTGTCATATAAGGCTTTTTATTATGTTGAGGTATGATCCCTCTATTCCCATTTGCTGAGAGTTTTTATCAAGAAAGGGTGTTGGATTTTGTCAAATGCTTTTTTTGCACTGATTGATATGATTATGTGATTTTTGTCTCTCAGTTTGTTTATGTGATGTATCACATTTATTGATTTGTGGATATTGTACTATCCTTGCATCCCCAGAATGGATCCCACTTGGTCATGGTGTGTGATCTTTCTAATGTAATGCTGAATCCAATTTTCCAGAATTTTATTGATGATTTTAGCATCTATGTTCATCAAGGATATTGGTCTGTAGTTCTCTTTCTTTGTTGTGTCTTTATCTGGTTTTGGAATTAGGGTAATGCTGGCTTCATAGAAAGAGCTTGGAAGTGTGCCTTCCTCTTGAATTTTTTGGAATAGTCTGAGGAGGATAAGTTTTAGTTCTTTGAATGCTTGGTAAAACTCCCCTGTAAAGCCGTCTGGACCAGGGCTTTTGTTTGCTGGAAGATTTTTTATCACTGCTTCAATTTCTTTGGTAGTTATCAGCCTATTCAGGTTTTTGAGTCTTCCAGACTGAGTTTTGGGAGCTTGTATTTTTCTAAGAATATGTCCATTTCGTCTAGGTTGTCCATTTTGTTGGAATAGAGTTGTTCATAGTATTTTTTCATAATCCTTTGTATTTCTGTGGGATCAGTTGTACTTCACCTCTTTCATTTCTGATTTTGTTTATTTGGGTCCTCTCTCTTTGCTTCTTGGTGAGCCTGGCTAGAGGTTCATCAATCTTGTTTATTCTTTCAGAGAACCAGCTCTTGGTTTTGTTTATCCTTTGTATTGTTGTTTTGTTTTGTCTTTTTTGGTCTCTATGTCATTTATTTCTGCTCTGATCTTTATTATTTCCTTCCTTCTGCTTATACTAGGCTTTTCTTGTTGCTCTCTTTCTAACTCTTTGAGTTGTAGGGTTAGATAAATTATTACCATTTTTTCTTATTTTTTGAGGTAGGCCTGTAGAGCTATGAACTTGCCTCTCAAGACTGCTTTCACTCTGTCCCATAGATTTTGGATTCTTGTGTTTTCATGGTCATTTGTTGCCACGATGGTTTTTATTTCTTCTTTGATCTCTTTGGTAACCCAAATAGTATGCTATTTAGCCTCCAGGTGTTTAATTTTTTTCATTGCTTTTATTGTAATTGATTTCTACTTTTATGCCATTGTGATTTGAAAAGATGCTTGATATGATTTCT